CAATGCTCCTGAGAGCCAGCCAACCCACTGCTGTTTCTGCATCCTCTCTCCACAGCAAGGAGTGAAAGATGTGAAGCTATTTATTCATGCTTACATGTTTCAGACAAGGCCAACGGCAACTGAGTTTTCCATATCGAAGAGTATGAACAGTGTGGCTTTAACAAATACAGAAACAAAAGGCATACAAATAATTAGGAGGGATAGTAGCTAAGCAAAGTTACTGTATGTACTCGAGTAAAAGCCGACCCGGTGATCAGCCGAGGCACCTAATTCACCACAAAAACCGCATTGAAAATGTGCTGAAAAAACTCAGCTTGTGTATAACAAGTATCTACGGCTTGAGAGAGCTCAGTGTAAGCCTAATGGAAATCTCACACGTAGAGCATCTATCTTCCAAGCCTAGTGCTGCTTACATTTTCATTATGAGAACCCCTATGTTCCCTCAACCAAGGGGCAAAATTAACAGAACTTGGGCCAAGGCACATAAGGTAGTATCACCTGTTTTGCTTATTCAGGGGCAGTTCATGGACTGATTAATTTTGGCAAGCAGTCTCAATTGCAAAAATAAAGGATAACGAGAAAGTGTCCATATCCCCCCCAATAATAAAACTCGATACCACGTCCTGCTAAATGTTAAGTACTAAATTATAATCAAACCATCTTCACCACGACCCTCCAGAGATCTGGTGCCTTCCCTTAAACTTAGAAATCTTATTCCCCCACATGCACCTCTGCGACAGCCTCCTGGGTGGGGTTTTAAAACTAGAAGCCACGGATTAAGAAGAAATCCCATTAAAAATGGGCTGGGGACCAACAGGGAGGAGAATAAAAAAGATTACCATTATTTGTCCTGGGGATTTCTGGCAAGTCTGAGTGGTGCTGCGGTGAGCTTCTGGGCAGGTGATTTTCAGGTAGTTTCTTCGGGGTCTTCAGAGGGCATAGCTCACGCTGCTTGAGCTCCGCTCCCGTTTCTGAAGTTTTAATGTCCGTTTCCTTAGGAAACATACATGTCTGTCCTCCTTCCTTCATACTGCATTCTGAAGAAGCATTACTGGCCACCACTGTTCTTTTCGGTGGGGTTTCTTCTTTAGGCAACAGGTTTTGGGGAAGGGCTAGGTTCTTTTGCAGGCTGGCATTCATGCCACTCGTGTATTTGAGGGTCATCCAGTTCTCAGCCGTGACGTCAGTGCAGACGTCTTCCTTCACAGCCGAGAGGGCGCTGCCTGGAGCGGCAGTCTGTCTTTCCTCAGTAGCTGTGCTGGCACTGCTGGCGGGAGGCGCGCTGGCTTTGTGTTTACTGTAATACACTGAGCACTTGTGCTTCTTCTGAGAATGGCCGTAGGTTGCTGGGCTCCTCTTGGCAGCATTCTGGATCCTGCTTTGAGGAGTGCTTACTGGAAGGCAGCTTCTGCCCCGGCCTTTATCCGAAGGGCCATAGACATCGAGGAAATTCTTGCAATTGCTTCTGAATTTAAGGAGAGAAACATTTAACGTGTTGGCAAACCAAATGACATGCTACTTCTCGGCTTCTGAGCCCACAGAACCGGGCAGCCCTTGGTTCCGTGTATGGGAAGGGGCTTGCTGCCGATGGGGGCACCAAGCATCTACATGTGTACATGCAAAAATGTCTTACAATGGAAGGAATGCTATAGCTGTTCACCCAATGACCAGCTGAAGCAAATCCTGCTGAGAATCAACGCGACAACATGTGCATTACTATACGGTAAAAGCTTACATAACCAGAGATGAACATATCAAAGGTGACACAAGAGCAAAACCAAAACCAAGACAAACCTCCCTCCACAATGGAAGAACACTTACTTGTGAGAAAGGGGGCTGACCGCATCCATCGGACTGCTGCTTTGCTGTGAAGAAGGGCTAGAATTTTGCCTCTGCTTTGTTTTCATAAATTCCATAAGAATGTACTGTGCTTGCTGGAAGGCTATTAAAATCACCCCCATCAGGGACAAACTGAGGAAGTAAGCAACAAGATTCAGTACTGCATGGTTCTTACTGGCAACGAAGAGACTAATTTCTCTACAGAGGAGCAGTAAAAGGATGGATGAGAATCGGCTAAAGATTGGGCACGAAAATTCTGTACGCTATACGATATCTTAATTGCCAACAGTTCTTTTTTTGTTGTTGTTTTTGGTATTCTTTCTTTTTTTTTTTTTTGGCCAACAACTCTTAAAGGTTTTTAAACAATCTAATGGGCCCTAAAAATGTGTTCTTTACAAGTTTGGGGCACACAGATCTTTTTTTAAAAATGTTGTCAGGACCATACCACTTTGAAGGGCTCCTCTGATCCTTCTTATCTCAAAATAACGCCCGGTGCTCGCACAGGAGACTGGGCCTCATTCTCCGACCACAGTGAGCACTGGTGGAACCTAATGGACCACGAGTGTCTATTACACTTGTTGCATGAATCTCTCTTACAGTTCGCTTGCTCTGATTTCAAATCATTTAGTGACTAGTCTGCATACATCTCTTGCGAGCAATAGAAATGTCACAAGACTCATGCTTTGAACACACTGAGCTACAGACACCCTCAAACAACCAGCCCGATGACACCTGTCCGGTGGTGAGGGAGGAGTGGAGGAGGACGGGAGGGGGTGGGGCATTTACCTGACAAAGAACACCGTGAGCCTCCAGAATGACTCCTCCCAGCTGGGCCCGGGAACCACATCTGCACACAAGGGCAGCAGGTGGTGCGGGAGGGTCACGTTGAGAGTGAAGTGAAATTCCAGGTGTGCAGCAGTGACCAGGGTCAGCTCCCGGATGACCCAGGAAGAGGTGAAGTCTGGCGTAAACCTAACAACCAGAGACGCATCTTCGTTCACCGCGACTGTTTCAACTGGCGTCACGAAACGACGGCACCACAGGGGCAGCGGAGTTTCTGACTTCAACAATATCCACATAGAAAACCAAAGCCACTGTGGCACTGTGCATCCTGACCCACGGCGGCCCTCCACAGCCCAGGGAAGAACCAGGGGTTCCAAGATGATTCGTCTTTATGAGCACAGTCCCATCTATCGCTCTCTGAACAGCTGGTGGGCTTGAACTGCTAACCTTGCAGCTAGCAGCCTGACTCTCACTGCACCACTGGGCTCTTACATCTACATACCACCAAACTCACTGCCACTGAGTCAATTCTAACTTGCAATAACCCTCTATCCGATATACAAGAGAACTGTTCCTTAGGGTTTCCACAACTGTGAATCTTCACGGGAGCAGACGGGCTCTTGTTTTCTCCCAGAGTCTGGGCTGGTGGGTCTGAACCAGTGGTCAGGAGCCCAGCACTTAACCCACTGCGCCCCTAGGGACCCTTTACATAGATAGATAAAGATTGGATCAAAGGAGAGAGGGCCTTTTCTCCCCTACAGTAGTATGCACATCCCAACACCAAACCCCGACACTTACACAATGCTGATGTCCCGGGAGGAGTTGGGATCCAGGGAAAACGGATGACAATCCAGCACTTCGAAGCCATACCCCTGGCAGTTATACCCATTAATCTTCATGGATGACACAATAACCGGAAGAGGCCCCATGTTCTCCACTTTAAAGTTCTTCGTAATGGATAAAATGTGCTTGCTGTCTTTCAGTTCTAGTGGGGACAAAAATAAACACTGAGTATGCAAAAGCAGTGGAATGGGTTTTAAAATCTCCATGCATTAAATCAACCATGATCTATAGCACTGAAATGTGAGGGGTGGGGTGGGAGTCAAGCTTTCAGAGGACGATTCCTGCCTAATTTTGAATAGATTCCGTTATACAGCCAGAACACAGTAAAAACACTCCAGCTGTCAAGTGAACTGCTCTGCCTCTGTGCCAAAAGTAGTCTCCTCTGTGGCCTTGCACTTAATAAAAGCTAAAGCTCTTTTCAAAAGCTGGATCGTTTGGCTTTACAAACAGCTACCATGGGCTGTGCTTACATCCCTGCTGGCTTGCTTACAAACATGTGGCCGGTACTCAACGCACATTGGGCCAGGGTGTGCGTGCAAACCCATCTCATCTACTAGACACACACAGGAGCCCCGGTGATGTAAGCAGGTAAGCGCTTGGCTGTTAACAGAAGGGCTAGTGGCTGGAGCCCCTCCAGAGGATCCACGGAGGAAAGGCCTGGCAATCGGCTTTGTAAAGATTACAAAGCACCCCTAAGAGGCAGTTCTCCTCTATCAGGTGGGATGGCTGTGAGTTAAAAGCAACAGCACCCACTCACCCACCCACTGGAAACGCAGTTCAAACATGTTGCACTGAGATGACACTGTGTCATTAAGTCCTTGCACAAATGCATGGCCACGCATTTTACTCACGGGGTTTTAAAAAAGTTACACAATTTAGAAATATAAAAAGAACTCTCTTGTTTCAAAGATTTTACGGTATTCCCTGAGCCTGCGTTTTAGGGTCAACTCTGAACTGTGTGAGCAAAGAACACCCCGATAAATGGTGAATGCCAAACAGCCAGGATCTTCTTCTCAAAAGCAGTTCTCGCGCATGTAGCACAGCCCCTTCCCACCGCCACACACAACCGAAACAGAACACACCTGGGGCGGGGATCTACCATTCCCATCAGACACTAGCACCGTGCTAACTATGCCAAACAGTCTCGCCACCCTGCTCTCGTTCGACACCACGTGCGGTTACTCGACAACGCTTTCCGTGTTTTCCGGGCACGAAGAGGAAGAGCAGGACAACGAGCCAGAAGCACCCCAAACATTTCCATCTAGTGTTTTCCACTTTTGTTCCAGAGGACGACACGGAAACTAACACTAACTACAGTAAGTAATTGGTGGTGGGACACTGTCAAGGCACGTACTTTAAATGCATGCAGAATTTAGAAATTTCTCGTGGGACATTTAAATACAGTATGAAGTCTGTCACATACAGTAGCCACTGGCGAGACATGGCTGTTTGAATTTAAACTCATCAAAGATTAAGCGAGCTTAAGAAGTCACATCCTGGACTTGACTTGCTCCGTTCTCCGTGCTGTGGCTACAGCACTGGGGTGCACAGACAGACAGACAGATATCAGTTCCATCACTGCAACTCTCTCCGTCAACACACATGTAACCCTCAGTTTGGCGTGATAGCCTAGGAAACTGACACCAGAGTTATTGCTTCATGTTATTTATGTTAAATATGGATTATTATACTGGCAATTTAAGGCGCTCTGGTGGTGCTGTCGGTTAAGCACTGGATTGCTAAGCTTGGCCCTTCAAACCGGCCAGTTGCTCCGTGAGACAAAGATGCGGCCACGTGCCGCTGCAAGGATCCACAGCCTCAGCACCCTGGACAGGGTCGCTGTGAGTCTAAATCACCTCCACAGCGGTGGCAGTGGGTTTTCTCATTGATACTAGCAGTTTATCAATTATGTTTCCCTCCCCATAACCTTTTGTTTTAATTGGGTTAAACATCTCAAGCTATTGCTCTTATCTCTGGGGACCACCAGCCTGAGTCTGAACACCTTTCCCTGGTTTTACAATTTGCAACAAAGCTCCAGAGTCTTTGGGCCCTTGGCTTCAGCACCACGCCTTCCGCAGAAGAGGACCCAAGTCTTGACTCACGTCGCCGCCGGCAGTCCATCAGTGTAGACTCGGGCACCTTGAACCGCAGGGAGCCTCCAGCACCAGGAAGTCTCCCACCCACTCTCAGCAGCTCTCTCGCTCCCAACCCTTCCACACGCACCATGTCGATAACGGTCAAGTTATTCCTATAGGGAAAGGGGGACACAAATAACAAGGTTATAGTCACAGGATGTGTACAGGACAGCATACCTACTCTTAGTTAGCCAAGACATTTTCAAAATTAAAAACAATCCATTAAAAAGTGTGGCACATCCCCAAGGAATGGAAGCTGCCTAGGCAAAGGAGTCAGACACGCTCTTCACCCTCTAACCAGGGACAGAGAACGCAGACCTGTTTGCTAAAGTTCTGCTGTAAAAATATATCTCACATTCGCCAACGCAATATTTTCAGCTGTCCAATTTATCACCTGCATTCATCATGCTGCATGCAACCCTAACTAAACATTCCCCGCTTTCTAAATAAACTTTTTTTTCTTGGCTTCCAGAGTTATAATCTGTGCAGAAGCAGACTACCGTTATCTGTCCCCTGAAATGAAAAGTAGTTGGAAAGGACGGGTCTATCCAATACAAAAGGAAGGGGTGGGGGGGTGCTAGAAGGGAAAAAGCTGGAGAAAAGCAAACAGAGGGAAGCGAGGAAACAGAAGTGTGGAGGGAGCTATCATACAACCTGGTTGGCTAACCAGGACACCCAGCTGTGTACTCCTCTCAGGAAGGCTTGCCTTCCCTGCTCTCCTTCCAGCCTCCCACAATCTGCTCTACCTACTTGCCCCTCTCCTCCAAAACTGCCAGTAAGTGGGTTGGACTTGATATAATTTTAAGGGTGGGAAGCCCTCTGCTCCAAATCTCCTTCATAAGTCATAAGGGTGACCCGTTCACTTCATTAGTAGTCAATTCTTTTAGGTCACTGCCCTTCTTGATTGAATACTTTTAAAATACAAATACTAGAAAAGGAGTAAGCTGCTTTCACAGTGCCTGACAAGGAATATGTGCCAAGTACATTTTCCTTGGGATTTGCTCCACCCGATTCATAACAGTAGCAAAATGACCATTATGAAGTAGCAACAAACATAATTTTGTGGTTGGGGGTCACGGTGACATGAGGAACTGTGTTAAAGGAAGGTTGAGAACCACGGCTCTAGGGCCTTCCCAAGGCCATCCTTTCAGTGTCTAATTGATGGTGCCAGCTGATCCTCAGGTTTGAGATGTCAGCTGACAGCGTGAGTCTGGCACCTTCTGGGCCACAGGGCAGCATTGTAAGCAGACACTCCAATGGTATGAAGGCCAGAGGGAGAGTGGTGATAGGAAGGGAGGCTTTCCTGTTGTCAGAAAAATATCGTAGGAGACTTTGAAACGGGAAGAAGCTTCCTGGACGAAGAAGAGTTTGGGGGAGTTATCTGATCTACGGCTTTCACGGTCTTTTAACTAGTGCACAGCTTCGTACACAGAGAACCCAAATGACAACATCAATGACTTGTACACAGAGATGCAATTTTCACCGGGTTGCGTGGTATGCTTTGCGGGTTCTGACCAATTATGCATTTGCTAGCAAATTCTTTTCAGCATTCTCAATGGCCTATTTTAAGTCTATCTTTAGAGTCTGATTTTCACCAGTTTTAACAACTTACTAGTTCCTTCATTAACAAGGCAAACTTTGACGTGTTTTTAAAAAGGACACAAAACACCAGCCACTGAGAGAGAGAGAGAAAAGGTTCCTGTGAAGAGTGACCCACGATCTTGGAGAGCCTCTGTGGTAGTTACATAACTTCTTGTGAAGTTGATAAATAAGGGCAGGGGTGGAGTCTAGCCTGTCAGTCAGGTCACAGCCTGATGATGCCTCCTTGTGGAGGAGGACTTCTCATGAGGTTTCTGGGAACTTCCTCTTTCTCAGCCTTTGTCTTCCTGTTGGCAAGCCCCACAGAGACTTGCCAAGACCTGGAAGAGCCACGTGGGGACCCCTGCCAGTGCTAAGATGCTCCCACCGACATTGGATCCACAAGACTTTGCACCCACTGACCTGTGATCTTCTTGCACTTTGGATCATTGCACATGACTGTGTGAATCTGAAGAGAGAATTATGGACTAGTGTCGGACTTACAGACTTGATCTAGACTGGACTGGTATGTTTTCTCAATATACAATTGCTCTTTGATACAAAGCTCTCTCTTACACATGTGTCCCTGGATTTGTTTCTCTCGTGAACTCGGCCTAACTCAGCCCCTATACAAGAGAGGTGGGGAACATCCAACCCATGGGCTCTAGAAAACAACAAACTCACGGTCACTGAATCCATGCCAACTCAAAGCAACGCTCTAGGGCCAGGCAGAACTGCCACTGGGGGTTTCTGAGACGGTCACTCTTTTCGAAGAGTGCAAAGACCTGTCTTTCTCCTACGGCCTCTGGGAGGCCTGATAACTCACCGTTATCAGCTAATATCAGCCACCTCACCAGGGAGCAGCAGAGCCAGTCATGGCATTCGGGGTGAGTTAATTAAATATTTGACTCTGGTATAAAACATCCAAATGGCCCTTGTTAGAAAACACATGCCTGCTACATGGGGTCACAATCAGTCCGAAACCACTCAATGGCAGTAGGCATGGTTTGGGTTTTACTAGTGAAGAAACCACCAAAAATAAGTTAACTGCTACAAGAAATCCAGACTTCACTTTCCATGTCTGGAGCACTTCAACCTGAGATGAACTTAAGAGCCTGTCGCTGAACTCCACAGAAGGCAGGTTTGAATTGAAACATATTAACCAGGTGCAAGAGGAGCCGGTCCCTACAGAGGACCTACTGATGAGGTGCAAGAGGGCTGCCTTCTCCGTTACCCTCTCCTCCTACCACGAGTCCAGGTCTGGCTGAGAGCAAAGAGATCTGGCTGTGGGAGCCAAGAAGAGGCAAAGCAGTTCAAGTTCTCTGCTTCTAAGAAGCAGAAGGCTGGCCATCTGCTTCCATACGGACTACAGCCACTCAAACCTCCGGAGCCGCACACGGCATAGCCGTGAAGTGGTCCAGACGGGACAGCAGCTGGTTTTGTTTCCAGTTTTAGTAGCTCAGGATTACAAATTCTGGAGCAGACGAGATCGAGATGGGGAGGGAGACAGAAGCAGAATAACTTGCAACCAAGAGCCACCTACCTGATGAGTATGAGGGAGGCCACTCTTCCGTAGTCTGCAGGGGTGAACCCAACACCAACCCGTCTCCTCTCCAAGGGCTGCAGGCGTAAGTGCAGGGTGCCCAACCGGGTTTCCTCAGACCGCATACCCTGCAGATTTGTAATAAACAGTTACATCCTGTAAGGAAGGATCCATCTTGGTTCAATGCATCCCAGAGCTTTGTTAGGGGCTGTTCAGTCAGTTCTAACCCAGAGCGACCTGAAGCTCAACAGAAGGAAACGCCGCCCAGGGCCGCGCCACCCGCACAATGACGTCTGAACCACCGCAGCAGCCCCGGGTCCGTCCACTTCATCGAAGGCCGTTCTCCTTTTTGTAGTCAAGGCTGTTTGCAGAGCTGTTTCTATCACATCAGTGCTCCTCATCACTACAAGCAAGTCACTGCTCTTTTGGAGCAGCAAAGCGGTCCATCTCATCATTCCTGTGTGTTTGCGGTTTGATTTTGTTTTACTGGCCCTGCACCGCCAGCATTTCCAAGATGAAAGAAGAAATGGTGTCAGTGGGATTCCTTCTCATCAGAATTATAACCTTCATGAGGGGAGGAGCATTACCTGATACTTACAGCACGGATTATCAATGGCTTTGGGTTTTTAAATGGTAATAAGTGTTTTTAACTGGTTCTTACATGCCAAGCACTATCATTTTTTTAAAAGAGGAGGCAGATAAAATGTTGAGCATTTCCAAAACCTTATTTTTTTTTTTGAGAGTCCACAACTTTATTTGGATGTATTAAGTTGTCTTATTAACAATAGGTAGAAAAGGGTTAAACAAATGTTAAGGAAACACATACACACACATGCACAATGAATACGAGTATGTGTTTGAATTCAGCTACTTGAAATACTCTAAAATTATACTGGACTTACGAGATTAAACAGATTGATAAGACCCCTAGCACTTTATTCATAGTATAAATGAATGGTTCCGGAGGTATAACTTTTAAAGGCTAATCACTCTAAGTTAATATCAAAGCTTACTAATAATATATGAGTTGGGATTCTAGCAACTCTCTATTGGAGCTAGCAAATTTTCTATAAATAGCTAGCTAGCAAATACCTTTTTTATATCGTTTTATTAGGGGCTCATACAAATCTTATCACAATCCAAACATACATCAATTGTGTAAAGCACATTTGTATATTCATTGCCCTCATCATTCTCAATGCATTTGCTCTCCACCTAAAACCTTACTTATTTAATCTTCAAACATTATGCGAATGATGGGGGCTTGGAAAGGCTCCATTACCTGCCCCATGACCATGGAAGAGCCAGGACTTTGAGCCTGACTATCCTCCCCCACCCCGTCTTCACCAATGCAAACTAACAAACAAAACTCCGGCGGCCTTTCTTTACTTGAGGAAGCTCTAATAATCTCTTCCTATGAACTTTTTTGAAGTTTCTATCACAGATTATTTTTTTTGTCTGTGTAACAAATTAATGGAAATCCTTCTCCTGATCATAAATAGGTCTAAATGTTCTTGGGGAAATCTTGGGTCGTAAGTTACAAAAATGTTTTTTCTTCCCTCAGATGAATTGTACTGTCTGTTCAAATATCTATGTAACACATGCTTATCTGCATGTGAAAAAAGCTAACAAGTTTGGAATTTCAATCTTAGAACATCATGTTTGGTAAAGCGGAGGGGCAGCAAAAAAGGAAGGCCACAGGGAATCCAGGGCGGATGACCCTTCAGGACCAGTGGTGAGGGGGTGATACCGGGAGGGTAGAGGGAAGGTGGGGTAGAAAGGGGGAACCGATGACAAGGATCTACCCATAACCTCCTCCCTGGGGGACGGACAACAGGAAAGTGGGTGAAGGGAGACGGTGGACAGTGTAAGAGATGACAAAATAATAATTTATAAATTATCAAGGGTTC